AAACTCACCAACTGTGAGATCATGACCTGAGCTGAAGTCTATGCTTAACTGACTAAGCCACCCAGGTGCCCCTATATAGGCTCTCTTTACTCTTTTTTTTTTTCTTTTTGTTCTTCTCACTAGGTAACTTCAAATTCCTGATTTTAAGCTCCTCTGATTCTTTCTTCTGCTTTGGCAAGTCTGCTGTTAAAGATCTCTGAATTTTTCGCCTTAGTCATTGTGTTATTTAGCTCCAGAATATCATAAAAAAGTTTCATGGTTTCTTTTTGTTGAACTTTATTTTTTTAAGTAGGCTTCATGCTTAATGTGGGGCTTGAACACCCCACCCTGAGATCAAGAGTCACATGCTTTACTGACTGAGCCAGCCACATGCCCTGAACTTCTCATTTTTATTCATATATTGTTTTTCTCATTTTATTGAGTTGTCTTTTTCTTTTATAGCTCAATGAACTTTCAAAGGATTATTTTGAATTCTTTGTCAGTTAGTAGATCTCCATTTCTTTAAGGTTAGTTATTGGTACTTTATTTTGTTCCTTTGGTGGGCTTGCTGCTGGAGCACTTGGGCAGGTTGGCCTGGCTCCTAGATCCGTGGGTAGGTGGGCCTACTGCCTGGGTCCACGGAAGCGGGCCTGGCACCAGGGTCCACTCAGGCAGGCTCAAACCTGAATCTCTCCTGTCTTGCCAGGTGCCTGGGTCTCCTGGGGCAGGCCTTGTGCTGGGGTCCATTGGGGTGGTCCTGGAGCTTGGGTCCATATGCGTGGGCTGGGGCCATGAGGGTCAGCCTGGTGCTGGGTTTTCTGGGATAGTGAGTGCTCACTTCACTGTCCTTCCCCCAAGTGAAGCATATCTCTCCATGCTTGCAGGAGAAGTAATGTGGGTAATGTGAAGCTGTCCTTCCTACTCTCTTCAGTGCATCTTTTTTTATTTCTGTATAATACCCAGGTCCTATGATCTTTGACCTGGATCCCTTATCTCTCATGCATAGGTGGTTATTCAGATTGATGGTTCTGTGACAAGACTTGTGCTGGAAATTGCTATTCTGCCCTCTTGCTGATGTCACTGTTAGTGGTTTCTGTCCCTTCTGAAATTGCACATTTTTCATCTCTTCCCTTACTCTTGATGCTCTCCCTTGAGACTGTAAATTGTTTATTGTTAGACTAAGGAAATTGGAACAGTTAGTTAATTTTTTCTAGAAACTCTGTTGCAATTGTTGGGAATTGGGGGAAGAAGTGATCATATTTGTGTATCCCATTTTTTTTTTTTTCTATTTAGCAGTATAGTCCCAAGTCTTCCTGTGTTCAAAGTACATATTTTCCTTAGTCCATTTGCTTTTTACTCTAAAGAGCCATATAAAAGCAATACAGAAGAAAATGCATTACAAGGTAACTTAAAAGTTAGGAAGGTTAATATCAGTTAAATTAGGAGCCTGATTTTATTTTACTTTTAAAGTTTATTTATTTCTGTTAGTAATCTCTACTCCTAATGTGAGGCTTGACCTCATGACCCCAAGATCAAGAGTCATATGCTCTTCCAACTGAGCCAGCGGGGCATCCCAGGAGTCTAACTTTAGATTAATCCTGTGTTTGTGAGAATTAGGCCCTATCAGCTTTGAAGCATTTCATAGTCTCCTGAATAACAAAGTTAACTAT